CAGATTTCCTCGAGCTTCCTCACTACTGCTATCAAATCTTGCCCTTCAGCCAGTATTGCCATATTGTCTGCATACCGTACACTTTTAATTTTTCCAATTTTCATACCTTCCATGTCATCTCAGCTTCACCTATCATCTTTTCCATATACAAATTGAACAAGGTAAGTGAGAAGCAGCAACCTTGCCTGATTCCTCTGCCAATCTTCACTCTTTCAGATTTTCTTCTTTATTTTGACAATCACACATTGTTCTCTCTATAGGTTTTGTTTAACTTCATCATACACCGGGTTAAATATATGACACGAGATCGACTTACTTTAACCAAATAACCAGAATGCTTATGTTTGATAACTGCAAATATTTTCAAAGTCCCTTCAGGGCTCTTCTTCAGGCTTCTACCCTCATTGCATACAAGCTGCTCGTTAATATTCGAACACAGTTCAAAAGGTATTCGATTCGGGACCCAACACGCGCATGTGCTCCACTTTACATCTAATTGCAAAATTAAATGCTATCGTCCAGTAGGCCCTGTCATGCCATTGAAAGGGACATCTCCTCTTTAAAATTAATGCAGATGGTTCTGCATGGGCGGTAGTGAGGATAATATGTGCACCGGTGAAGTCCACCGTAATATCTGGGTCTGTCACATAAGTTGAGAGGGCCATTGTACACCTGTCATGCTGTATGTCGGATTTAAGTTCCCTTAGCCTGACCCCCATTGAACGTTTGGTGGAGCCAACATACAGCATTTCCTTATCCCATCTGTTGTCTCTGATTGGGATGATATAAATACCCAGTTGTCTCTCGGGGTTAGGATGGTCTTTTCCATTATGTAGTATGTTGAAAATGGACGGGCATCTCCTGTACGCTATATTGACCCGCTGTTTCTTGGCAATTGTGGTGTACAATGATTTTAAAAGGGAGTTAAAAGTGAGGGGATCCTCTCTTTATCTTCTTCCTGTTTATTTTCCGGTATTTCCGTCGAACTAGTATGTTCTTCTTGCGCACGTCTGTGGCATTCACATAATCTACATATAAGGTTGGTGTAACCATAGGCTGTGACTATCTCTTCTATATTTCCTAGTTCTTATGCTAGTGCTTGTGGTGTGGAAGAATGTATGAACATTCTCCTAGCCAAGGCCCTGAATGCTGCTATTTTGTATGGAAAAGGATCACATGATCCAATTGGAATATAAGTGAAGATAGCACTTGGTTTACGATAAACAGATGTGTGTATGTCCGACCCTTCCACACCACAAGCACTAGGAAAAAGAGAAGACAAAACCTTTGTATCTCCAGTCGTAAAGTGAAAAGACCTCTACATGCTGCACATTCATATAACAGCAAATTTTTTAAAAACCAACAAAAACTTGTATTCATATGTCTCACTTTTAGTTCTGTCACTTTATGTCAATCTACATTTTAATTGTTATTATTAGGCACTCTTACTTAATCTTATAGGAAATTTATCAGCTTTCAAGATATGTTTTACATGATAGGAGGAAATTATATGTTATAATATAGTGATGGACAGCACGCTAATCATTTATTACAAAAAACTTTTACGATATAAGCGTTAAATTAAACACGTATGTCACTAAATTGACGAGCGCTTTCGACGATACACACTTTCGTCTTCTTCAGGTCATTAGAAGATATAAGAACCTTTTTGAATACAAAATTTTTAAAAAAGACCTGAAGAAGACGAAAGTGTGTATCGTTGAAAGCGCTCGTCAATTTAGTGACATACGTGTTTAATTTAACGCTTACATCGTAAAAGTTTTTTGTAATTATATGTTAATTTTCTATTGTGTAAAAGCTTTGTAATCAACCCTTGAACTTTCGTAACAAAATTAACAATAATGACGACGGCAATTACTTTATGTATTGCTTATTTACTCTATATCTGATATGACAATTATTCCTGCTAAATTTTCATCCCTGACTCTTCTTTAATAGGCAGTTTGCCGTCTTTACTAAATTGTAAACTAACGAACGAAACAAAATTTTTCGGCATTCCATTGGATAGCCCAAGATTATAATTTGTTAGGTCTTTACCATATAAAAAGTTACCTTTGGTCAAACGAGATATAATTAATAACAACATTTTTAATATGTAATGCAGTTTAGATGGTTCCTTGTCAATGTTTGTTTTTTTCTATTTATTTTATAATTACTGCTGAAATGAATTACAGTATTGACAGAGATAAAACAATGTTTGAGAAGCTACCTTCTAAATTGCATATAAGTTAAAGGTCATGTTTTTAACTGTAATTTCAGATATGCTTGTTATGACAAAAAGTAGCATAACAATTTCTATGGGATATATCTTGCTACAGGTAATATGCAGGTAATTACAGTGGTTTTTATATTATTAAAGGCTAACTAAAGACTAGATCTCCAGATAACATAATTGGTGACATGTGAAGAGTATGCATTAGTCGAAAATTGAATCTTGCTCTTAGTCAATCTTACTTTCTGGAACAGTGATTTTCAACCGGTGTGTCGCGAGAGGAATGTAGGCACGCTGCAAAAATTTTTGAAAATTGTGTATGTAACACCAGATTATTTTGTATAAAACAAAATTTTCTTTAAATCAAAAACGTATCTATAATTGTCCATATTTAGTTCAAATAATTTTAACTTAGAAATAGTGGGCCATTTATAAAGCCAATTATCATGCCACATTTAAATGTAAATTAAGACTTAATGTTAATTACTTCTCTTATATAATGAAAATTATTAATTTAAATAACTATTGTTGTAACCTGCTGCTGTTTTAAGGAACAACAATACAACTATATTCAATTCACAAAAAATATAGACAAAAAGAATTAAGTAGCCAATAATATGGTGATAATATTCCAAGTTGAACACATTACCAGTTGAGCTTGTGTTAATTAAATAAAAATTAATGATGAAATTTGCCATGTGTCCAAGTGAATAATAGTTGGTGTTCAAGTTTCAAGTTGCAAAACAATTACTGGCACAGTTTCATAAGTACTAAAATGATGATAATATGTTTACAAACAACTTTAAATCACATCCTGTGGAAATTTTTGTAGCAGAAATTTAATTATAGGTTCAAGTGTGCTGCGATATAAATTTTTAAAAGCACAGATTTATGTAAAACATTATAGAACAATCACAAATTAATTTATTTAAAAGTAGTGCTTAAAATCTTGTACTGATTAATTCTAGCACATGATAATAGCTTACTTGTCTAATTTGGGGCCAAATTCTGTAATTTGATTAACGGTTAGCTTAATTCTAGTCCAAAAATAATCAGGTCTGCAATGTATCATTATTTTGCTTTCCTTTAGAACAATACAAATATATTCTATTTCTTAATACTTATAGAATAAAAAGTTGAATTCTATTCGTGAGTTGTTCGTTTCATACCAATTGTTTACTTACATAAATCCTAAAGCTTTTATTGTAATTTAAACTGTTTTTAATTTTTAAATTTTTTTAAAATTTAAATTTAACTGTTTTTAAATTTTTAATAACAGTTTGACTTAAACTTATAAACTGTCATAATCTTATAAAACTTCAAGTAATTATATGCAGTGATACGTATACGCTCTTTAAGTTCTCTTTCCAATCTTCATTGGCCCAATTCCGACTATTTTGCATCATCGTTCTAATTCTTTGTAAACAAAATAACAACTTTATATCTTCTTATAATATAATCGAGATGGGTTGATAATAATAATAAGCTCAGAGCCCAAACAGTTAGGAGTTGAAAGTTGAGATTTGGCACACAATGTACGTTCTCGTGACGTACCCTAAGAAAGGATTTTTAGAAAATCCCCCGCGGGGAAGAGGGAGAGGATTAAGGCTTACCATGAAGAACTCAGCTTCTACTATACTATTTTAGATGCAGTTTTTGATTTCATTTTAATAGGGTATGCCATGAGAATACACATTAAAAAGGGATTTTTCGAAATTCCCACTGCGGGGGAGAGGAAGAGGGTTAAGGATTACCCCAAAGAACTCAGCTTCTACTATACTATTTTAGATGCCATTTTTTGCATTTTTGTGGGAAATTATATTGTTTCACCCTTCTAAAAATTCTCAACAATATTTAGTGCTCACTTGTATTCAAAGTTGACACAGGGAGCTCATGCGCATATGTTTGCTTTATTCAAACTTTTCGTCTTAATGTTTGAATTCATATTTATGAGTGACTCTGGAAGATCCAGCTTATTTTTGGAATTAAGTGAACCTGAAGAACTCAGAAAGGGTTACAAAAATATTTGTTATTCGTCACTTAGTGGTACTATGCATGGATTAGTGGTTGCAGTGAGTCTTAATTGTCGTTATCCCAGTGTGGTAAGCAGATACCTAAAAATTCTCTAATTAGTCTCGGAAGAGGGGTGGCCTAATTCTTGCACCCATTAAAAACGGGTAAGATCAGGTGTAATGTAATAATCTTAATCTTTGCTAACGTTACTTTTTGCCCACGCAACGTCGGCCTCATCTGCTAGTACAGTATTTATATATAAAGTTAATTTTTGTATACATAATTATATAAATTAAATACTACTAATACTTTGACAACTCTTAGAATGTAAAACATCTTACTTTTTCTAGTGACTTATTCAATGATTGCTTTTCACTTTTATGACTCTATTATATATATAACAGGGAAAGTGCGGCACCCCAAGACTTATATTTTTGGACTCTGTTTACAATTTGACTCTGCTTGGACTTTGTGTATCGATCCATATAATACACCATACTTGCTCAAATATTCCATGTAGTTTTCTAAAAACAACTTGTGACTAAAAGTCAGAGTGCACAGTTTATAGAGTAAAGTTTTTTGTTATAGAGTTTATGATTTTACTAACAAGCATTCCATTTTTACTGGATTTCTGCTTTTTTGAAGTTAATATTAATACCCATGTCCACTTTTTTAAAGATTTTCCTTTTTTAAAAGCGGTATCTTTAAAGAAAAATAGCACATGCAGATTACTAGAGTAAATATGATATTTAAAAATTATTAAAAAATATACTTTATAAAAAGTATTTTTAATTACAACAAAATATTTTTCAACAAATAATGCCATCTATACATTAATCACTTGTATCAACTAGTTAAAAAATAATTAATTTATACAATTTGTAGCAATATGTTATAAAAGTTAACATCCTTAGAGCAATTACATTACATCACAGTGGGAATGTTATTTCTTTCTTCCAAAACTTTACATTAATGGCAGTATATAACTATATTAAATGCACATTGGTGAAAGATGAGATTAATAAAACGAATATATCCATGAGTTATTTATTAGATGTTTCTGGCACGTTTTTATTGATATGCTGCTCGACCAAACTGAGCAGTTTATCCGAGTACTGCTGTAACAGTGTCATGGCATTGACGGTCTCTGCCGGATTCTCCACGCTTCCCTTGCCGATGCCAGGATCGATGGAAAGCGAGTTGTTTACATTTCCAATAGTTTTGGATGCAAAGATATTAGGATCTAGAGAACTGTTCTGCGGCATGGGCCATATGGGTACCGGCGGCATGGCCGGACGAAGATTTTGTTGGGCCTGCCACACTCCCTTGGCCAGCACCGTCGTCATAGAAGCTTTATCCATTGCCGACAATTCCGAATCCATAGTTACCTATCAAATAAATATTTTAATACTTTTATAAAAAAAAAAATAAATTTCAAATTAAATTCATTTAATTTTCCAATAATAAATCCTTTGTCTTGCTTTTGTAGATATGTGTGATGCAATTTTTTTTTTCTACTCCAAATTTACTAACAACAATTTATTTATGGATTATAAAAGAAAAATTAAAATGTACAAATTCTTAGTCCCTATCTGCCCTTATATTGTGATGCTTTTTATGTATTTATTTTATTTTTGATCTATTTGATTAGTATTATTTATATTGTTATGGCTTCAATTTATTTTTGTTATTCATTTGTTAATTTATTTATTTTTCGTTTTAATTTTGAACTTATAATTATCGAATGTTCCATTTAATACAATTTTGAAATACGTTCGAATGCCAGTTCACCTGAAGATGGCCTATTCCATTGGGCTGAAAACGTTTGTGTTTAAATAAAGTATTCTCAGTGATAGAAGGTGTTAAGTTTTATTAAGTGTTTTTAAAAGAAGCTGAGTTTGATATTTAATCTGATAGTATTGTTATATTTGAAGTGTAGCAAATACAAAGGCACAAGGAAATTGTCTGTAACATTTACAATTAAAACAACGCTGTGACTACACAATTAACAATTAATTAAACAAAACACTACCCTATTTTTGTATCGGACTTGTCTTTTTTATTTGTGTGAAGTAATGTCTGAAGCTTATTCACTTGTGATGTAGTATAAAACCAAGAGTGAAATATCTGAAAATAAATAAAAGTTTTATTTCTTTGTATTTAATGATGGTCAAATCTATGGACACTTCTTTTTTCCTAATTGGGAAATGATTTTTATCTCTTGTTCTATAAGATTTAAACACAAGGAATGATACGGTAAAATAATTATGTCACACATAAAAGAAAAAACTAAAGTTGCAAAGGATTTAAGCTGTATCCAGTGGCTTTGGTGCCCAGCACCTCATCAGCTCATCTATTGCTGTTTCAAGAAGACGTGGAACTTCTGGACTTATAAAGTAAATGATTGATTTTTGGAGGTTCGTTTCTTGGAAATGCTCAAGAAGTGGGTCCTATTATTTGGACAAAGAACCATTTGTGTTTAGGGCTACACATTCACCAAATTTTGTTCAAATGGAAACCTGAATGTCCAACCCTCTCCTCAAGTCTACCATTCATTTCATTAACAAGCATTATCTTGGTCAGTTACATTGCAGGTAGCAAAAGTTTTTAAAAATCTGGCAAACATACGTGATAGGCCTAACATTATGAGCTTGTGAATTCTTTTGATGGTGATTTCCAAAAATAATATCATTAATGCAAATATTTTTTTTAAATGCAAAGAAAAAGTTGTTTCCGACAGATTCAAATAAATCAAGGTAGATTTTACGGACTCAAATTTACTTTACTTGTTTGGTGAATCAACAGGAAAAGTTTTTTGGCTGAACAAATCCCTATTCTATCAGAAAGATTGTTTTTCATTGTGATTAGACAAAAACAAAGCAAATTGTGTGATGTGCAAATCAAATACAAAAATCTATTAGCTCTTGAAGGTTATGAGAATAGGAAAACTATTTCTGCAATGAAACAATTGTAGATGAAATAATTACTTCCATCCAGACAAATAGCTTTTCTAAGATTGGTCATCTTTGAAAAGCTACTCTTTTCCAAATGTTTAAACATTTGGAAAATCAAATTCCAGTAATTACTCGACCAGCCAGAAATCCAGATTTATTGTCAATCAAAAATATTTGCCACCTACTCGAGCATCGAATTGCTCGGCACCATTCGCACACCATTAGTTAAATGCAGTTTTGGCACAAGAATGGAATAGAATTTTTATTCAAATTTTACAAGCAACTGTGGATTTGATGTCAAAAATGCATAATAGATAAGAGGCCAGTAATAAATGGTAATGTATCTAAAAGTGTGTATGGCTATGAAGTTGTTGAATTCTTATAAAGTAACAAATTCCGAATGTTTCATTAGTGGTTTTAATTAAAACATAAACTAAAATGCATGTGATTATTTAGAAGCAACGGAATAAAGCATACTCTTTGGAAAACTTGCATGGCAGTACTGGTCACTTGTTTCAATTCTTCAGCAATTTGTTCGCATAACTCTCTTGTCACTGTAAAATATAATGAATTTAAAATGGCGAAAAGTAAACTAACTAATTAATTAATTAAGTTTTATAACACTTACAAGGAACAGAAGCAGCATTATAATACTTAAAAGAATTGTTAGAAGGATTTTTATCTTTCACGGGTAAATCATCAGGACTCATCTCTAGTGCTTTTGTTGTAGCATTTGTTTTAAATTCATTATCTTTAATATCTAATAATTTCTTATCAAAAATTTCTTTTTGATTATTATAAATATCAGTCTTTAATTTAGATTCTTCTTTTTTCTTGTCGGTCTGCTGGCATGCTTTTTGCAAATCCCATTCACTTTTTGATCTGGAAGTTTGTTTATAGAAATCACTAGTTTCTTTACTGGATTCTCTATTTCCCAATTTCTTTTCCCAGTGAGCCACCAGGCTTCTGGCAGTTAGCGTGTTCGGTTTGTAATCGGTCGGAGAAGCATCCGAAGAGGAAGAATCCGAATGCTGCCACCTCGGATGAGTGGGTGCAAGAGTCAGCCGACGCGGTGGAACGGCCGCCACCGTAGACCTGCCGGCGACATTCATGGCAGACGAGGATGATGACCTCGTCAAATTACTAGAGTTTGTGTGGATGGATTTCTGAGATGAATATACACTTCTGGTCGGAGTGTCAGGTACAGTTCTCTGTGGCGAATGAGATTCTAAATTTTCCGAACGATGGAGGGCACTGATGCTTGCACTTCTCGACATGGTATTTTTTGTGGGAGTAGATATAACTGAAGCTACAGGTTTGACCGTATTTACTTCGTCAGAGCGTTGTTTGGCCCTCGCCCACAACGGTGCAGATATAGCATCAGAATCTGTAATAATATAAATTTTAAATACGATATCAAGCAATTATTTTCTTAAAAATGAATTTTCTAAGAAAACATTTTCTACAATTTGTTAAACTTCAATATAGTATAACAATTAGACATAATGTACACTGCTGGCCATTAAAATTGCAACACCAAGAAGGAAAGCAAATAAAAAAAAAAGATATTTATTGTACATATACAGTATGGCATAAAGACATAATGATTAAATTTGTAAGCAGTTCGGGGTTTACAGGGGTGCGAAATCAGTAGACACAGTTGCCACCCCTGGTGGCTAAAACGACCCTTATCCGTTTAATCATGGAGTCGAACTGGGCTTGGATGACAGAAACGGGCAACTCATTCCATGCTGCTTCGAGTCTATGCCACACTTCATCAACTGTATTAGCAGGAGAGGGGTGGCGGGCCAGTCTTTCAACAACCCATGATCAGATGTTTTCAATTGGTGAGAGATCTGGAGACCGAACAGGCCAGGGCAACAATTGAATATCCTCTGTATCAAAGAAGGCAGAACACGATGTGCAACATAAGGTCTTGCATTATCTTGTTGGAAGATGGCATTTTGCAGGCCTCGAAGATAGGACACAACCACTGGATGTAAGATGTCAGAAATGTATTGATCTGCATTCAAATTACCATCAATCCGAACTAGAGATGTGCTTGTCGTGTACCCAATGGCTGCCCATATCATCACACCAGGTGCAGGGCCCCTAAGCCAATATCAAATGCAAGCAGGCGACAAGTGATCTGCTCGGAGCCTCCAGACACGTTACGGCCATCACAATGCTACACGCAGAAACGGGACTCATCTGAAAAGACAACATTGTGCCACTCCTGTATCCAGCTTTGTCGTTGGGCACACCAGAGTCGCTGTCTCTCTCTATGCTGCATTGTCAAGGAAAGCCGAAGTAATGGTCGCCGTGCTGATAGTCCACACTGTTGCAAACGTCATCACACCATACGAGCAGATACTGGACATGCTGCAAACAAGCTCATTTCCTGACTAATGGTTTGTGATGTGGTTGTACAGTTTTGCACAGCCAATCTCACAATAACGCCTCTTGGGCGTTAGTCATGGGAGGGCATTGAGATCCTGCATGCTGTTCGGTAAGACCCTCAGCAACCCATCAATTCCATATTCGCATGACAGTGGTTGGATTTCGACCAGTGCGAGTGGCATTATCACAGAACGATAATCCACACTGTTGATAGGCAATGATCCTGCCTCTATCAAATTCCAACACTTGCTGGTAAGCATTTCTTCTTCTTATTTGAGGCATAACACGATATTCTGATGAAACCCTGAACTTATAAAGTGATTTCTGAATGAGAAATCCACTGCACAACTTTTCTTTTATGCAGTGCTTCAGATGTCATTTGTCCCTCCTGCATTGTCTAAATGCACTGAAATACTAATCATTTGCATATCCCAACCTCTTCTTCCTTTCATATGATTTTGACGTTCATACGATCATTCCTTCCTGGTGTTGCAATTTTAATGGCTAGCAGTGTATTATGTACTCTGGAATATAACTATTTATATATTATATTGATGCTTATTATAAACATTTACAATTAACACTAACAAATTATATTTTATTAAAATCTATTATAGAATAAAAAATTTTTTCACATTTTTTTAATCCTAACAATAATACTGTATACCAGGGGTGGCCAACTTTTATGTACAGAAGATTACTTTTTATCTTAAAAATGTGTCGCGATCAACTTGTTGTCGTAGGGTTAGTCCAAGTGACGAGGGGGTGGTGTGAAATGCATACTATGTTTAGATAGGTAAGGAAAGCCACAATTTAATTTAAAACATGAAGAAAAGGTACATTGTAAACAGAATAAAAATTGAAACTCAACTTTCGGGGACCACCACTTCACCCCTCCTCTTTCTACTGTGTCCCGACTACTCCCTCTGTCCCTCTTCCCACCTTTTTTTTGGTTTTACGATCCTTTGTCTACATTTCTTATTTCCCTTTTACAACTGTACGCAAATGAATATCACATGGACCGACAAAACCGCATCTGAGGGAAGACGCGATGGTCCAATATCACTACATTTGCATTTGCGCGTTACGTTCAGTTACAAGTGTAACACATTAATTCAAGACATCGCGAGCGATCGACCAAAATTGGCTTCGTGATCGACTGGTCGATCGCGATCGACTTGTTGGCCACCCCTGCTATATACTAAGGATGATCAAAAATTTCAGAATACATTTCTATTTATTCTTAATATTTTTTATTTTTTTATTTTAAGGAGTTAAAACACTATTAAGCAAGGAGTTTAAATTTTTCCAAAATTCAAAAACATTTAAAATATTTTACACTTCATTTTACATTACTAAATTAATTATTTACAAGTGATATATTGTAAGTTTAATTATGTTTGACAAATAGTACTAAGAGTTTTGCCAATATTCATAACATTGAAGCAATGTTTTTCAAATATTTTATTAACTAGCAGACCCCGCCACGCATTGTTGTGGCTCAAAATGTATCTATTATAAATGTATAACACTTCCCCTCGGGAGGGAATTTCAAAAAATCCCTTCTTAGTGCACATTGTCTTGACGTACCCTAATAAAACGCAATCAAAAACACAAAAAACTGCATCTAAAATGGTATAATAGAAGCCAAGTTCTTCACAGTAAGACTTAATCATGTCCCTCTCCCCCGCGGGGGGAATATCGACATGTATATTATATAAAAATACGTGCGTATTCAAATGCAGCATTGTGTCAAAATTTCAAAGGAATCGGTAGGAACAAATGAACATTACATTTTTATTTATATAGATAGATAGAAGATGATCTGCTTTAGTTCATCCTCACAGAAAAGCAAACTTAGGGCGTTGTACTCATAGCACCATCTATTGGACATAAAAGCCTTAACCTAGATGATATCTTTTAATTTATAAGAATGTTTAACAGAATAATATACAGCCTACGTCCACCCTGAAGTTCCATTCTAAATATTGGTGAAAGAATTTTTGAAATTGGATGAGTAGTTTCAGAGATTACCCCCTACATCCAAACTTACAAACATTACCTGTTTATACAATCTCTCTACACACCGGTGTTTAAATAAAATAAAATAAATAACTCTTCATTACCTGTTTATAATAATAGTATAGATGAATCAAACATCTGCTTTACTGGAGTTCTTACTAAATTAATATACAGTAGAGCATTGATTATCTGAATACCAATCAACCGAAAGCATTCCAGTCGGCAAATTCAAATTTCCACTAGTGCTGTGGCATTGCAGCACTCTTCCCCCCTGCCAACCTAAACCGTAGGCCTACTTTAATGTACTACATTATGTAAGGTATGTATTTGTAAGACGTGTGATACAAATTATGTACAGTACAGATTTGTTTTTAATATATTTTTCATAAATGATCAGTTATTCGAACAACCCCAGTCCCGAATTGTTTCGGATAATTGATGCTCTACTGCAATGGTATTCAAACATTTTAACAGTGCGACCCCAAGGTAATTTTCCGCAACCCATAGATTGAATACCACTGCTCTACTGTATTAGCACTTTGAATCCTATCCCTCTTGAAGATGAACTATTAAGTTCTAACAAGATATAGATAATATAGAGTGATCTGCAGAGGCTGCTGTCATTTGGGCTCTGATTTTAAACTATGATATTTAAGTTAAAAATCGTCACGCACTGGAACTTTATACATCGCTGGATAGATCTCGTCGAGAGGGTTCGTATGGTACCATTATTTTTTGGGTGGACCAATTAGGGGAGACGTTAGGGGTTTTTTAGTTTTCAGTTTTTGTAAGGGCTCTAGCAGGAGGGGAAATTGAGATAGGGGGAAAAAAGTGGATGATCGAGTCAGGGTACCACCTACTATATGTGTTACAAAATTGGTTCAAATCGGTTAAGTCTAGAGGGATTTATCGCAATTTTAAAATTGTCTAAATTTGTAAGCAGAGCAGAACTTTAACGGTTTTAACAGTTTTTAACCGATTGTCTGCGTTATTCAAATTTAATAACGGTCGTTAGCTCAGTTAGCTTTAACGAGAAGAATCCAATTAAAAGGGGGGTTGGACTTGTCAATTCTTTTAAAAATATTTTAATATTTAGTTCCATTAAAGTTTTTACTTTTTGCTAGTAATTATTTTAATACATTAATATAGTTTTTAATGGTTAATCAATTAGAGGATTAATAAACAATCCCTGGGGTTTAATTAAGTCTTAAATTAGTTTAATTTGAATTTAATTATTATTTAATTATATTATTTGAATTTATTCTATCTTTTCATACTGTTTTTCTAAGTTCATAACTTGGAAATACGGTATTGCTTGGCACTGTGCCACTTTTCAAATACACGCTCTTCTGTTTATTATTTACATCATTGGCATTAATAGTAGGGGTTTTTTTTTTCTCTAATGGAGGAGTTAGAAGGTATTATTGGTTCTATCCACGAGGGTTCCATGCATGACGAATTTGGTGAGGATACATTTAATATTAATAATTATACAATGAACAATAATGCAGAAGATAACATAATGAAAGAAGCGAAAGTTCAACTCACAAGAATATTAGATCTTTTGCCATATCACTCAAATATAAAAATTGGAGAGAGGAAAGAGATAAAAGAAAGAGCGATGAATCTATTTGCAACGGTTCACCAAATGTTTGGAAGGATGTTAGAAATGAAAGCTGAACTAGAAAAACAACGTAATAAAATGACTGAACAAACTGAACCAATAGAAACAACAGAAGGAGAAAGAATTAACAGACAAGAAAAAAGCAATACGATAAGACAACCAACATATGCGGAAATAGTGAGACTAAACATAAATCAAGGTCTAAGTCAAACATCAAAAACAATACATAATAAAGGAGATGAAGGTGATAACAGTGCAGTATTGGTATATCCTGAAAAAGAAGATAACATCGAGGTTAATATGAAGGAAGTGACAGGGAAGATCATGGATAGGATACAACC